TTTCTAACACAAAGAAATAATGAATGTTTAAAGGGATGGAAATACTAATTACTTCAATTTGATCATTAAAAATTGACAAGGTCAATTATGCATGTATCATGTGTTGTACTATACTAAAAACATCCTTCTGATATGTTTTCTTTGTTTCTATTAGACCATTATATTACCTCATAACTACAATGCACTGAAAACTTGGAAAAGTTGGAGGAAATTAGTGTGTGGGTCAACTATCAAAATTATGCAATTTCTAATGGCTATCTAGGTGACCATGCTGCAGCTCACAGATGTGTAACCCTACTTTATGCTCCCACAGTGCCTGGTCGGCATGATGCATACACTGAATTACCACAAATTACCATACTCTATCCCATTAAAGTGGTCAATTTAATAGTAAGTAAATGGGCTGGTACAGTGGAGTAGCAGGTGAAGCAGCCTCTTGCAGTGCTGGCATCCGTTATGGGCACCAGTTTGAGTCCTGGCTGCTTCACTTCCAATCCAGTTCTCTGCTATGGTCTGAGAAAGAAGTAGATCAGGGCCAGTGCTGTGGTGCAGTAGGTTAAAGCCCTGGGATGCCAGATCTAGTCCTGGCTTCTCCTCTTCCGATCCAGCTCTCTGCTATGGCCTGGGAAAGCAGTAGAAGATGGCCCAGGTCCTTGGGCCCCTGCACCCACATGGAAGACCCGGAAGAAGCTCTTGGCTCCTGACTTCAGATCAGCTCAGCTCCAGCCGTTGTGGCCATTTGGGGAGTGAACCAACAGATGGAAGACCTTTCTCTCTCTGTCTACCTCTCTCTGTAACTCTGTCTTTCAAATAAATAAAATAAATCTTTTTTTTTTTTTTAAAAGAAGTAGAAATGGCCTAAGTCCCTGAGAACATCGAATACATTGGAAAACTGCAGAGCACACTTATCTTGGCCATTAGCACAGGTTTGCCTCTGCTGTGGGTGTCTGCCAATATTCTCTTACAAACAATGTCCACATTGTTTGTCCCTGAACCCATGTGGGAGATCTGGAAGAAGCTCTTGGCTCCTGACTTCAGATCAGCTCAGCTCCAGCCATTGTGGCCATTTGGGAAGTTAATCAGTGGATAGAAGACCTCTCTCTCCCTGTCTCTGCCATTCTGTAATTCTGCCTTTCAAATAAATAAAGAAATAAATACTTTAAAAAAAAAGTAAATAAATCAATAATATGCCTTGGGTAGAGGAGAACTTTTATTAACTGAATTCAGCTGAAGATGGGGCAAGTATTGCCTGAGAAGGGACTGGAAGGCATTCTGAGAAGAGACAATAGCATTGTCTACACTGTACAGGGACAATTAAGGCTGATTTGCATTATAATTAGTGTGGCTGGAATTGAGAGTGCATTAGGCAGAAAATGAGAAATGAGCAAGACTGGTCTCAATGTCTAGGAAAACACAGAGAGTGAGTCTGTTTTCCCTCTGTTGGGATACCAGCAAATCTAGGGAGGTCATTCTGACTGAAGCAAATGCCTCCTCCATCTCATTGCTATCTAATATTAAAGCTTTTAAATTATAAATGTGGAGGTGGTGGTGTTGGTGTTGATGGAGGAAGAGAAGAAGAGGAAGAAGAAAAACAACACCACCACACATATACAACTAATTTCCTGATTTTGCCTGGAGTCTTCCCCTAGAATTGAAGTGAGGAACCACTGGATAAAGTCTTTAAAGATAATTTATTCCAGAGAAGGCTATATTTTACTTACACATTGGAAAGAACAGCTTATTAATTCATCAAAGTTTCCTTTATGAATATTCCCACTTACTCTGTGGGGAAAAAAAGGAAACAAACATCTAAGTGCCCAAGTCATTGAAAATGAGTATTTTATTTTGACCACATAGAACAGAATGAGGAAGTATACTTAAGCGATTTTTGCTTTTTCCCAACTGCTTTTGCTCTCACATTAGATTTGCTAGGAGGCCTTTAAAAAAAAGGCATTTCAAGGATGAACAAGTTCAAACCAGATTGTTATTTCTTTTGACAATACTTATTTAAAACTGGGAAGATGGGGACACTGTCAATTTCTCATTTGGTTTGACCTTGTCAATTTCTAATGACATCAGCAAGAAAAAAGCATATCTCTGCCAAAGGTAATATTATTTTTGCAAGAGAATATGTTAGAGAAATTAATTGCCTAGTGCTTTATATTTTTTATCTTTATATTATAAAACCAAGGAAAAGAAGAGATTAATATTAGCCAAATACATTTTCATTCTGTCCATTTTGTCATCCTCACTGTTATTCTAAGAAGACAAATGCTTATATTTGATAAAATAACAATACTTTTAAATATTAATAATACTAATGTCAACCATAGGGAGTCTATGTGCCAAGAACAGTAATGCAAGCTGTCATATACATTTTAAAAATACTGGCTCTGCTTAAATTCATATTCTGATCTCTTTTTTTAAATATGGTACTTTGGACAGTCAGACCTGGGTTTGCGTAGAATCTTTGCCATTTACTAGCTAAAAAACAGGGGTAGTCACGGAACCTACTACATAGGTGTGAGGATGGTTTATTTTATGTGTCAACTTCACTGGACCACGGGGTACTCAGATATTTGGTCAAATGTTATTCTGTTTCTTTCAGGGTACATTGAATGTAATTAACATTTAAATTGATAAACTGAGTGGATCAGGTTGTCCTCCTTCATGTAGTGGGCATCATGCAATAGGTGAAGACCTGAATAGAAGAGGCTGATGCTTTCCTAAATAAGAGACAATTCTTCTTGCCTGACTGCCTTTGAACTGAGAAATCAGCTTTATACCTGAACTGAAACATTGGTTCTTAGTGGGTCTCAAGCCTGCTGATCTTTGGATTAGAACTAAGCCAATAAATTCTCTTAGGTCTCTAGTCTCAGCTGACTCGCTCTGAAGATCTTGGAATTTGCCAGCCTTCATAATTGTAGGAGAATTCCTTATGATACATCTCCTCATATATCTCTTCATATATATAATACATATGATAAATCTTTTCAAAAAGTTTAAGAAAATATGCATTTTGTTTTAATTTTATTTTTCCACAAACTTTTTAAAGTCCATTCATATCTTATTTTATATATTTTATTCCACTTCCCTGGAGAAGTTTGACTAATGTAACAGGACAGTAAGGCCTAGTGAGGCAATGAAATAATGTATGAACTGAGCATAGTACCAGGCAAACAACTGTAAAATCATTATGCAGGTGCTTTTTCATAATAGTCACAATACACAAGTTGTTTTAGCATTGTTATGAAATGAAAATATCCCAGCATTGTTCTTTTGGATTCAAAACATAAGATGAATACCAATGTATCAATCATTCTTGCTTATCATTCATTTCATATGCCTTTGTTGGCTGAACTATTTGCTTTAAAGAAACCATGGATTGGGTGATTTTAAGATCTATTTTGGGTTACTTATTAAATCAATGCTATCAAAGTTGGCTTATTACAGTGTCAGCAATTTAAAGGCCAACTACATTTTTTCTATTTCCTTTTTTTGAGTGCTTCATCTTTTTAAGTTGTAGTTTTCTGAAAGAGACAGAATCTATGAAAAAAACAGCAGCTCATTAAATAAGCTATTCAATCAATACAGTAATACTAAACTACATCATCAAAGTGACAAGAGAATTGTCTATAAAATAATCTTGTGAAAGGTATGCAATCAGAGCATGAATGCAGAACACAATGTAAGTTGTTTTAAATGACCTGTTCCCAAAATGAATCTTCCAAATAAAAGTGGAAGAATATATATAAATGTTCTTACAAGAGTGATGAACAAATTGTGCATGACACATGTCATTCAGAACCTCAACTCCGTTTATTATGTACTGCACACTTATTTTGTGCCAGGCAGTGTGCAAGGTACTAGGACTATAAAGGTGAGTGAAACCTGCTCTGTGGCTTCCAGAGCTCTCAATCCAAGTTCCATTCAACGTGGAGTCTAGAGTTTAAAGAGAACAGGAGGAAGAATTTGTCAGTACAGCCTGGAAGATAAGGATAGAGTGGAGAATCATGTGGGCACAATGATGGAGTAAAAAGAAGACAAGGTGTGAAGAGTGGGCTCAGGAAACAGGAAATCACAGCGAAAGACACTAAAGCACATAAGAAACTTGGTGAGTGGGGAGCAGATTCTGGCTTCTCATGACTCAAGCAGGGAATCAGCACAGAGAAGGAGAACAGCAATGGTAGAGTAGAAGGCACTCAGATGATCTGCAATGACGTGCACTGGACTTAGCCAGCCCATGGAAGTCATCTGTAGCATTCCAACAAGATGGCGTCACTTACTGTCATAACACCTCATGGCAGAAAACAAAACACGTGTGTCCACCTTTCAAAGTTCAGTAGTCTATTGCTGCTAGACACTCCACCACATGCCTTGCTATATACTGAGCTCTTCCAGTAGAATCTATTTTATAACAATCCTTTCTTTATCATCCGTATGTAAAGAGAGCTAGAAATGAAAGTTGGGAAAGCAGTCATAGTATGACATTTGGTCTTTTCTCCATTTCACTATTTTCCTGATGGTAGAAGAGTGTATGGTAAAATAAAAATATTTCAACTCCTTGTCTCACTAACCCTTGAAAAAGCTGGAAATGCCAAGAGAACTGTCAGTCAGAATTTGAGGACCACTTTGAAATGTAGGTTTCTTGTCTGGAGTTGCTGAAAACTGGGTCATTATAAAGCTTATACAAAAGATGAAGAGTATCCGATGGCTACAAGAAGGGAAAACAGATAATTTCCTTACTCCTTGGTGCTAAATTGGAGATAAGCTAAGCAACAGGACAGTTGCCTACTCAGCCAGAAGCTGCCTACCTGAGAGAGCATGTGGTACATTCTCCTGAGGAGGGGTTGGAATGAGATGGAACCATGCTACGGCTCAAATGATATGTACTCTCAAATTCAGCAGGAGTTTAATCACCCCAAATCTTATGGTAATGGCATGGAGATGGAGGAAATCTAATCTGACCATGATGTCTAGAGGCAGAGTTTGGAAAGAGATCAGATTAGATTACATTACCAGCCAGCAGGGAGCCCGCCTGGTCACAGGGCCGCCTTCCCCGCCTGGCAGCCCCTCTGCTGCAGCTTCCGGATGAGTTCCAACAGGTTCATCTGCAGCGTCAGCTCCTGCGGGTTGGTGGTCACGTAAAAGCCAGCCACGCCAGCCTTCTCCAGTGTGCTCTGCTGGTCGGCCACCTTGCGGTCCAGCTCCAGCACGATCTTCCGGTCCATCGCCCGCTGTTCCTCGCGGATCCGGTGCTCCACCGCCTCCAGCTCCCGCTGCTGGGCCGCCTGCAGCACGGGCAAGTTGTGGGGCCGGCAGGCCTGCTGGGCTTCCTGGTGCTTCTGCCGCAGCGCCTGTTTGAGCACTCGGTGCTGGTTCTGCAGCCGCAGGCGCTGGTTGTACAGGCTCTTCTCGGTCAGGTGCTGGATCTCCAGGAGCCCCTGCACGATCTCGAACACGGTGCCGTCGAGGAGCACCAGGGCCAGGTCGCTGAGCGTCGTGTAGGACAGGCGCTGCTGGAAGGAGCTGGGCAGCTCCTTGACCAGGTTCTGCAGCGCCGACAGCAGCTGATAGTGCCGCTCCTGCTGCCGAGTCCCGTCTGCCGCCTCCTCCAGGGCGCCCGCATAGCGCTCCATGGCGCCCGCGCCCTCCAGGCAGCGTCTCCACGGTGCCCCTACAACAGTCCTCGGCGCGGCCCCCTTACATCCACCAGTCATTTGCAACAAAATGGAGGAATCTGGAACACATCATGCTGAGTGAAATAAGCCAGTCCCAAAGGGACAAATACCATATGTTCTCCCTGATCGGTGACAACTGACTGAACACCAAAAAGGAAACCTGTTGAAGTGAAATGGCCACTATGGGAAACGGTGACTTGATCAGCATAACCCTGACTGTTAATGAACAACTTAATACATTATCCCTCTTAGTAGTTTGTCTGTTCTACTTAATATGACTGGTTTAATTCTGTAATTAATACACAGTTATTCTTAAGTGTTTAAAATTAACTGAAATGTGATCCCTGTTAAACATAAGAGTGGGAATAAGAGAGGGAAGAGATGTATAATTTGGGACATGCTCAAGCTGACTTGCCCCAAATGGTAGAGTTAGAAACATACCAGGGGATTCCAATTCAATCCCATCAAGGTGGCATGTACCAATGCCATCTCACTATTCCAAGTGATCAATTTCAGTTCACAATTGATCATAATGAAAGGACTAAGAGTCAAAGGGAGCACATAAACAAGTCTAGTACCTGCTAACACTAACCGATAGAATAAATAAAGGGGACAGTGATCCAACATGGGAAGTGAGATACACAGCAGACTCATAGAATGGCAGACGTCCTAAATAGCACTCTGGCCTCAGAATCAGCCCTAAAGGCATTCAGATCTGGCTGAAAAGCCCATGAGAGTATTTCAGGCATGGAAAGCCAAGACACTCTGGCAAAAGATCTCTGCAAGTGAGATCCCAGTGGAAAGAACAGGTCATCAAAGAAGGAGGTACCTTTCTCTGAAGGGAGGAGAGAACTTCCACTTTGACCATGGCCTTGTCTAAATATGATCAGAGTCGGTGAACTCAGGGGGCTTCCATAGCCTTGGCAGCTCATGACAAGAGCCTAGGGTGATTACTGATGCCATAGACAGGAGTGTCAATTGGTAAAGTCAACAACAGGAGTCACTGTGCACTTACTCCTCATGTAGGATCTCTGTCCTTAATGTGCTGTGCATTGAGATTTAATGCTATAACGAGTACTCAAACAATATATTTCACTTTGTGTTTCTATGGGGGTGCAAACTGTTGAAATCTTTACTTAATGTATACTAAACTGATCCTCTGTAAAAAAAAAAAAAAAAAAAGAAATTATCAATTCCCAACTTGACTCTCACTGGGATTAAACATGGCAATAGGTCTGATCTGATTTCATCATCATTTAAAAAAATCATCTATTATTTTTCACTTTATGTTTCTGTGTGGGAGCAAACTGTTGAAATCCTTACTTAATGTATACTAAGCTGATCTTCTGTATATTAAGATAATCGAAAATGAATCTTGAAGTGAATGGAAGGGGAGAGGGAGTGGGAAAGGGGAGGGTTGTGGGTGGGAGGGACGGTATGGGGGGGAAGCCATTGTAATCCATAAGTCGTACTTTGGAAATTTATATTCATTAAATAAAAGTTAAAAAAAAAAGAGATCAGATTAGATTACATTATTAGACTAGAGCCTCCATGGTGAATCCTGGTGGCCTTCAAGGAGAGTGAGAAAGACCATACAGATAGACACATGCGCAGTTCCTGTTTCTTGTCATATGATACCCTGCGCCAGCTTAGGATTCAGCCTTTGCCAGATGAGGCCCATAGACTCTGTACTTCTAGAACTGTAAGTCAAAATAAACTTATTTCCTTTACAAAGCTAGTCTGCCTCAGGAATTCCAATACAGTAATGAAAAGCTGACTAATAGAGATCTCCTTCCTCTGGGGTTCTGTTGTCTTAGAGGCAAATGAGAGCAGCACAGTTGACAGTGTACATACTAAGAACAATTAAGGGTGGTTGCATTTTGGCACAGTGGGTTAAGCCACTGCTTGGGGTCCTGGCATACCAAAACGTATTGCCAATTTCAAGTACCAACTACACAGCTTCCAATCTAGCATCCTGCTAATGCACCTGAGAAGGTAGTGGAAGATGGCCCAAGTACTTGGGCCCTTGCCACCCATGTGGCAGAATAGGATGGAGTTCCAGGCCTGGCTCAGACCTACTACTTGGTCATTTGGGGAGTGACCCAGCAGATGAAAGGTTCTCTCTCAAGGTCAGTGCTGTGGTATAGCAGGTAAAGCCGCCACCTGCAGTGTCGGCATCCCATATGGGTGCCGGTTCAAGACCTGGCTGCTCCACTTCCCTATTCCAATGTCTTGTAGAGTTTCTTCAGGCTTTTCTGGGAAGACGTATTTATTTATTTGAATGTCAGAGTTACAGAGACAGAGTCAGAAAGAGATCTTCCACCTTCTGGTTCACTTCCCAAGTGGTCTCAATGGCCACCTCCAATCCAGCTCTCTTCTGTGGACTGGGAAAGCAGCAGAAGATGGCCCAAGTCCTTGGACCCCTGCACCCATGTGGAAGACCTGGAAGAAGCTACTGGCTTCTGGCTTTGGATCAGCACAGCTCTGGCCATTGCAGCCAACTGGGGAATGAACTAGTGGATGAAAGACCTCTCTCCTCTCTCTTCTTTCTCTCTCTCTCTCTCTCTCTCTCTCTCTCTCTCTCTCTCTTTCTCTGTGTAACTCTGACTTTCAAATAAATAAATCAATCTTTAAAAAAAGAGAAAGGTTCAGGCTGGCGCCGTGGCTCAATAGGCTAATCCTCCACCTGCGGCGCTGGCACACCTGGTTCTAGTCCCAGTCGGGATGCTGGATTCTGTCCCAGTTGCTCCCCTTCCAGTCCAGCTCTCTGCTGTGGCCTGGGAGTGCAGTGGAGGATGGCCCAAGTGTTTGGGCCCTGCACCCACATGGGAGACCAGAAGCACCTGGCTCCTGGCTTCGGATCAGCGTGGTGCTATAAAACAAACAACCTAGTTAAGAAATTGGCAAAGGATATGAACAGACATTTTCAAGAGAGGAGCTTCAAATGGCCAATAGAAACATTGATGGAACAAAGACATAAGCCTCAGTCATTCTCCCTCATTGTCCCAGGAGATAAACTTTGGAATGCATTCCTGCCCTTGAAACTCAATTGGGTATCACACCCTATTGCCTTCATAACCCACCTTGCATTATTTTCCAGGTTCCCAAGGCCCCCACCCAGTTCCCGGAATTCCCCTCCCTGCTGCCCCCTACCCCACCCCCAGCCCTAGCCCTCCTTAAAAAGGCCCAGTCCCTGGGGGTCAGGGCCTCTGCCACATGCTCCATCGTGTACACGAAGGCAGTTGGTCACCCACCTCTGAGGATTTATTTTCTCTGAATAAATTCGGTCTGGCTATAAATTCATGCACTGCCTCTTCTCTAATCTGTGACTCTTATCCTAACATTTTGGTGCCCCATGTGAGGAGGCACCAATCTGCAACTCTTTTCCTAACACACGTGAAAAAGAAATAAAGCTCAGGATCTCTAGCAATCAGGGAAATTTAAATCAAAGCCACAATGAGGTTTCACTTCACCCCCATTAGAATGGCTCTCATACAGAAAACAACAAACAACAAATGCTAACCAAGGATGTGAAGAGAAGGGTACTCTAATCAATTGTTGGTGGGAATATAAACTGGTACAGATACTGTGGAAGAGATATCTCAGAAAGCTGCATATAGATCTGCCATATGACCCAACCATTCCACTCCTGGGAATTTATCCAAAGGAAATGAAATCAGTATATGAAAGTGTGATCTGTATCCCCATGTTCATTTCAGCTCAATTTACAGTAGCTAAGATATGGAATCAACCCAGATGTCTATCAACTGAAGATTGGATAAAGAAATAATGATATACATACACTATAGAATACTAAATAGCAGTAAAAAATAAAGTCCTGTCATTTGCAATAAAATGTATATAACAGGAAACCATTATACTTAGTGAAATAAGCCAGTCACAAAAAAACAAATACCATATGGTCTCTGTTCTGTGGTAACTAATAGAGTACCTAAAAGGTAATCTATAGGAGCAAAACTGACACCTTGTGATGAGATGAATTTGAACAGCCTTTGTCTTGACTGCCCAGGAACAATGTTTTTCTTGGTTGTTTTTGTTCTTTTTTTCTTTTTTCTTTTTTCCATACTATTCGGTGAACTTTCTCCTAGTGTAGGGTTAATCTTATGAGTATAAAATTAACTGAAAATTACCTGAAAAAAATAAGCATAGGAAAGGGAGAGGGAAGAGGAAGAAGAGTAGGAATATGGGTGGGAGGAAAGGGGGAGGGGAAGAATAACCATGTTCCCAAATTTGTATATATTAAGTGCATGAAGTCTGTATTCCTTAAGTAAAATTTTTAAAAAGCCAAAAATTTATTTTAAAGGCAGAGTAAAATGGAGGGAAGAGACAGAGATGTCTTCTATTAGTTCAGTTCCCAAATGCCTGCAAAAGCCTGGGCTGGACCAGGCCAAGGCCAAGAGCCAGGAACTCCATCTGGATCTCCCATATGGGTCATAATCTGCTGTCCTCTCAGGCACATTAGCAGGAAGTTGGATCAGAAGCAGAGTAATGGAGACTTGAACAAGCACTGTGCTATGGGGTATGGGAGTCCCAAGAGGCAGCTTAACCCATATGTGCCCCTAAACTTATCTTTTAATTCTACTTTTCTTTGGAGTTTCCTCATACAGATTGCCTAAACTGAAAATATGACAACAGGCCGGCGCCGCGGCTCACTAGGCTAATCCTCCGCCTTGCGGCGCCGGCACACAGGGTTCTAGTCCCGGTCAGGGCGCCGGATTCTGTCCCAGTTGCCCCTCTTCCAGGCCAGCTCTCTGCTGTGGCCAGGGAGTGCAGTGGAGGATGGCCCAAGTGCTTGGGCCCTGCACCCCATGGGAGACCAGGAGAAGTACCTGGCTCCTGCCATCGGATCAGTGCGGTGCACCAGCCGCAGCGCGACGGCCACGGCGGCCACTGGAGGGTGAACCAACGGCAAAAAGGAAGACCTTTCTCTCTGTCTCTCTCTCTCTCACTGTCCACTCTACCTGTCAAAAAAATTAATAAATAAATAAAAATAAATAAATA